TTTCCAGCATTCACTGTCATATAGAAAGATCGATATTGCATAACAGTTCAGTTCTCTTTTCTTTGTTTTCAATGAAGTTTTCCTGTTTCTTAGTAATTTGCTTAGCTTTTGGAAGGTATTTTTCGCCAGCTCTCAGCTCCTCCGGATTTTGGTGTCGCATTTTCCGTCCTCTGTCAAAACACTTCTTCTATATTTAAAGTTTTGTACTTTGTTTGCATCTCCAGTTTGTAATTCGCATGTTGGACTCCTCCGCATCTCCAACTGGGATCCCGAAATCAATGACTTTGTATGGAGCAAGCTCAAAAGTCTCGTGGACCGACATGAATCTCTTCTCGATACTATTAAGCGTCGGTAGATGTTACGGTTTGACCACGTCACACTGCTTAACAGCCTCTGCATGACCACCACGCAAAGCGCTGTTGAAGGAGAACGCAAGCGCGGACGACAACGCAAGAGCTGGTCAGACAACACCAAAAAGTGGATGGACATGCCAATGTCGGAACACCGCCAGCAGATTATCCTGGAGGAGGTTGTCTGTTTCTTTAACTCAACGATTGAGGAAGTCAATGGACTGAGCTCTTTTTTTAGCTAACAAACGTACATTTTGTCTTTTTTACAAATGGTTTTTAATCTTTTATCGCTTTCTTTTCCCTACCTTCTGTAGGAGTTCCTGTAGTTTTCAATCTGTCTTTGAATCTTCAGCGTTTTGTGTTCCCATCTTGAAGAAGACGAACAGATAGCGCCATTCCAGTAAGAAGTCAATCAGATATGCTGTACCTTTACAGATATAGTTTACTGGGCTAATTTCCTCTTAGAATGATAAGGAATGGCTTCGAAAAATCAGTTTTTGTTGGAAATCGCGGGCCAAGTGACATAAGGGTTGTATCCTGTCTCGTTAGTGTTTAGTCTGTGAAAGAGCAGATTTAAAATCAGAATCGACCTTTCCAGAAATTCGATTTAGGCAAACCGATAAATCATCAATGGCATTTCAAAAGGAAAAGTAAAGCGGAGTTGTCTTTGTGATTAAGGAAGGCGCTTCTTGTCGATGGCACTTGAAAGGGATGAGAAATTAATGCTTTCTCTAGAAAGAAGAAGAAGAAGAAGAAGAAGAAGAAGAAGAAGAAATCAATCGAAAGCGTCCAGTCTTTGCATTCAGCTGAAGTTGTTTATTATCAGATTTGGTTGGCGACCAGAGGAGAAAGCAGCAAGCAAGTGATTAGGGACGCAGGAAAATAAAAAGGCGAAAACGATGCCCATAAAGTGGAAAAGTATTGCAATCAAAAGGTCGCACATCATTTACGATTTGACGCCGACTGTAGACGGCGGCAAGGCGGTCTTTTTACTAAAGACATTGGTCCTTTACACAGTCACACGATTTCTGTGGTTGGTTGAGGGGTGATGTCAGGCTGCAATCAAGACCTAGTGACGCTATCACCAACCGTCACAAAGCTTCTAGGCTCTCCATTAAATGCAGTCAATATATTCATTAAAAAAAAACACCAAAACTATCAAACAGGATGAGTAGATTATGATAGATCGCGAAAGAATCACATTGAAAAAGTCTTCGAATTTAAAAAAAAAGATATGTTAATTTAGAACGTAAGTAATCATGGCTCTCCACAATTTCCTTTTTCATACTCTGAAAATATAGTTAGCTTTCTTCTACATTTAAAGACAAGTTAACATCTTTATAAATATGGCAAATTAATTATGGCAGTTTTTGTTGAAATTTCTGACCAGCATTCACATCTTGGTTGTGGTACTCACAAAGTTTCGGCTATTACCGATTTGATCATTTTAATCGGAATTCTTGAGATGGAGAATTATCATTATTATTTGCTTTCCTATTCGGATCAGCATTCTCATCTTCGTTTCGGCTATTACCGATTTGATCATCTTAGTCGGAATTCTTGAGATGAAGAATTATCATTATTATATTCTGTTGGGGCCATCCACCTTCTCATCAGAATGGACTGATCTCTCTACTACTAATAGGACAGTTCTATAGAGTTCTGGGAAGATCAGGTGACCATCACACTTCCGTCTCTCTACCGGAAGATACAGTTGGACTTTATACTCTTTCTGATTGTTACTGACTAACCTGCGTTCGTTTGACTACTCATCTCTCTGTTGTAAATACCTCTTCAGATATACCAGAATTTTTCCCTACGTATGTGTTTGTCCTTATTTCAATACACGCACGGGGAAACACTCAACATCTCAACATATTCTTTTCTATTCGGACCAGCATTCTCATCTTGGTTGTTATACTCACAATGTTTCGGCTATTACCGATTTGATCATTTTCAGTCTGAATTCTTGAGATGAGGAATTATCATTATTATATGCTTTGCTATTCGGACCAGCATTCTCATCTTGGTTGTTACACTCATATTGTTTCGGCTATTACTGATTTGATCATTTTAGTCGGAATTCTTGAGAATATGGGGCAACTAGTGAGGCTCGTTGTCACTATTCCGTCTGCCTGACTATCTCGGTAAACCTTATTCCAGCACGAGTCGCTGAATTGGCTAGTTGATAACTTCGAATTAACAGCGAATCATTTTGTTAGATTTTCAGCTGAAAATACTTCGCATTTAGAAAAACTATGTGGATCTACAGGGAAAATAGGAAGTATGAAAGCACTTATGCGTAAATTCTGAAACAGAGAGTTGAAATTTCCGGGTGACATAATGAGGAAAGAGGACATGGAATATTTAACACTGACGGGACGTACTGAAGGAAGGGGGATTGATTGATTTGTTTGTTTAATGGTACATCAACATCATTTAATGCTGAAATTGAGTTTTCTTGCGAGTTTTGAAGTAATGTTTTTCTGCTTTCACAAGTGAATACATGGTAGACGATACTCCGCTTTTATGCATATACATGTTTCTATGGTCATAATTAAAAGAAGCGGTGATATGTATGTTTTATGTTCAAGTGTTTTTTGCATTATATTTTGGAATACAGTTTGATTTCTTGAAGAAATTCTAGGATATCATGGATTTTATGTCATGAAAGTGTTCCTTCATATTTGTCATTTTGCTATAAAATTTATTGTTGCTAATTCTAATGTGTAAAATGCATAGCTGGCCATTTTGCTTTAAAATGTATTGTTGCTAATTCTACTGTATAAAATTCATTGCTGACCATTTTGCTTTAAAATGTATTATTGCTAATTCTACTGCATAAAATGCATTGCTAGTTATTTTGCTTTAAAATTTATTATTGCTAATTCTAATGTATAAAATGCATTGCTAGTCATTTTGCTTTAAAATGTATTGTTGCTAATTCTACTGTATAAAATTAATTGGTAGTTATTTTGCTTTAAAATGTATTGTTGATAATTTTACTATAAATAGGTGTTGTTGGAAATTTTACTATATAAAATGGTATTGCTGATGTGTTTGCTATAAAAATGTATTTTTATGCTTTCATGTTTTTTTTTTTTTTAAGGTTCACTATTTTGCTTGTAGTTGGGACCCTAACAGGTGCTACCACCCCGGGCCCGGGTTGACCTGAGAACAACAGCGATAAAGAGATGGTTCCACGCTCCTCATACCCTCCAAACTTCCGATCAGAGGTTTTGCTACCGGATTTTGTTTATTGTCATATCTAGGGCTGAAGGCAGGAAGAGCGCAGGGAGACAGTGGGTACCCCACCACCTAATTAGTTTAGGTGAATCGATGACATAATGGGGACAAATATGGATGGCAAATAGTCAAACTTTGCATGCCGAAATAAAAATAAAGAAGCTGTGGAGGGTCATGATTTCCCAAGATCTAAAAGCACATAAAAGAAGTGATGATTAAGAGGGATGAGAAAAAGTAAAACGTTGTTTAAAATTACAAGATGAAAGGAAGCTGTGGAGAGCCATAATCTCTCACAATCTGAAAGGTCATGTCACACAAACAGAAGTGAATGGATGACAGAGTAGGGATAAAGAGGTATTGCAAAGAGTCAAACGTTTCTGAAAACAACAAGGGACAGGAAGCTGTGGAGAGCCATGATCTCTCACAATCTAAAGGGACATGTCACCTAAAAAGAAATGAATGGATGGCAGAGCAGGGATAAAGAAGAATGGCAAAGAGTCAGACGTTGCTTAAAGCTTCAAGGCACAGGAAGCTGTGGAGAGCCATGATCTCTCACATCTTGAAGTGACATGGTAAGGATAAAGAGAGGTGGCAAAGAGTCAAACGTTGCTTAAAGTTACAAGGGACAAGAAGCTGTGGAGAGCCATGATCTCTCACATCCTGAAAAGACATGGCAACATAAAAAGAAGTGAATTGATAGCAGAGCAATGAAACAGTGGTTTGGCAATGAGTCAAATATCGCTTAATTCTACAAGGAGCAGGAAGCTGTGGATAGCCACGATCTGTCACATCTTGAAGGACTTGTAAAATAAGAGGTTAATGGCAGAGCAAAAACGAAGATGGATGATAAAGACTCAATTTTCGCTCTTGACAATAAAAATAAAGATGTGAAGGTCCGTGGTACATAAAAAATACATTATCTGTCACATTTGTCTTATTTGTAAATCAACTTATTTACTGAACAAATGGCGGTATACAAAAACAATGGCAGTCTTCCACAAGAAAGAAAAACTGACATCCAGAAAAAAAATTTTCTTGTTTCTTTGCGATCTTTTCCGTGTTTTTAAATTCCAATTTTGATTGGATAATGTTATTTTTATTTTTCTTATCAGTTCGTTCTGATAAAACCCTTTTTCTCTAAGACTCATAAAAGAATTTGTGCTTTAGCCAGCGATAATGTTCGGTTCTTTAATCGCAACCAATTTATCTCTCTTTTGACATCGTCGTCAAAAGATAAATCCAAGAAAAAGAAAAAAAAAAAGAGAAAAAAGGCCAATGAATAATTTTCGTTTGTTAGAATTCTTTGAAGAACATTTACATCCAATCGAAATAGACTTAATCGATTTATAATTATGAGATTAAAACGAAGGTTTTCAACTGTGTTAACGAATTAGCGAAAATGATATGCTTAATAAAATAAACGAAATAAAAATACGTATTCGATTTTTGCATTATATAAATCAATATCTATCTATCTATCTATCTATCTATCTATCTATCTATCTATCACATTCTGTGGTTATCCATCTATCTCCTTCCGTTTGCCCACTCTCTTTCCTTTCTTTTCATTTATTACTCACTATCTATCTATCTATCTATCTATCTATCTATCTATCTATCTATCCTATTCTGTGGTTATCTATCTATCTACTTCCGCTCGCTCACTCTCTTTCCTTTCTTTTCATACTATTCTATCTATCTATCTATCTATCTATCTATCTATCTATCTATCTATCTATCTCCTTCCGTTTGCCCACTCTCTTTCCTTTCTTTTCATTTCTTTTTCACTATCTATCTATCTATCTATCTATCAATCTATCTATCTATCTATCTATCTATCTATCTATCTATCTCACTCTCTTCATGTACAATCTATGTTGAATGAGGTATCCTGCCTTTACAGCTAGGGTACGTTTTACGACTTACATTTCCCGCATATCTTAAAGGTAAGAAGAAAGTTTTCCTCAGACAGCTCTTTCCACCAAGAACTATCACTTTGTGCAACATTTTCCTGCACCGAGGATTCTCTGGACACTACAATCTTAACCTCTTCAAGGATCAATCTTTATTTATCCTCCCTATCCTCATGCTCTTTATCATCATAATCCTCACTTTCTACCTCTAACACCCACTCCTTCATTCACGTCACACACTTCATTCCACATTACCATTTTAACAGTAACCAATTCTTTGAAAGAAGATGCCTTTATCTATCCTACATATCCTCATAATATGCATATATTGCTCCCTCCCTCCAGTGAGCGAAATATAGGGTTCAGTTCGACATTTCAACCAATTGAAGAAGGCCGGAGCGTACAAAGGCCGAAACGTTGTGATAAAAATGGCAACAAAGATGAGGACAATAGTCAGAATAATGTAAATAGTGTACATAATACCTCATCTCAGAAATATAGATAGATATTGAAAGATCGGATAAATATGGCTACAAAGATGAGGACAATAGTCCGAATAATGTAAATAGTGTACATAATATCTCATCTCAGAAATATAGACAGATACTGAAGGATCGGATAAATATGGCGACAAAGATGAGGAAAATAGTCTGAATAATGGAAATAGTGTACATAATACCTCATCTCAGAAATATAGACAGATATTGAAGAATCGGATAAATATGGCAACAAAGATGAGGACAATAGTCCGAATAATGGAAATAGTGTACATAATACCTCATCTCAGAAATATAGACAGATATTGAAGAATCGGATAAATATGGCAACAAAGATGAGGACAATAGTCCGAATAATGGAAATAGTGTACATAATACCTCATCTCAGAAATATAGACAGATACGTAATTGTTTTATATTTCCCCGCATTTTGCTCAATGTCAGTCAAGACAAAGCATTTAAGAAGAAAGAAGAAATACAATCTGTCACACCGTGTCTTATTTGTCTATCAAATTATTTACTGAACAGATGGCGGTATACAAAAACAATGACAGACATCTTCAACAACAAAGAAAAAGTGAAATCCGGAAAAAATATCCAATTTTTCTTTGTTTCTTTGCAATCTTTTCCGTTTGTTTTTAAATTACAATTTTGATTGGATAATGTTATTTTTATTTTTTATCATTATTATTTTAATAGTAAGCTTTTCTATCCTAACCTCATCCCGTCCTGTGTATGACGATAAACTACATCGGCGTCCTGGGTAAGACAATGTCCAACAGCAAGGCCTCTGGTTAGGAGGTTTTGAGGAGCGTGGAACAACCTCTTTATTGTTGATGTTCCCAGGTCCACACTGACCCGGGGTGGTAGCACCTGTTAGGGTCCCAGGTATGGGTAAATAGTTAACACCCAAACTAGGGTCAAAACACTATGAAAATGTAAAAATAGGTTTTAATATCAGAAATACTTTGAAAAAAATATTACCAGCAATACATTTTGGGAAAAAAATATTACCAGCAATAAAAAAAAAAAAATAGTAGTCGGCATTGAGGTTCATATGCTGTAAAACAAACGAATCCATACCAAAAGCTAACATCAACTTCATCATTATCATTATCATCATCCTTAGACCTCTTTGTGGTTGGTTGGAACTCTATAAACAATCCCTTTCCACACTGCTCAGTCTTGAATTGTAGTCGCCAAATCCCTAATGTCCAACCCTGAGTTCTGTGCCATGTTGTCTGGGAAAGTTAACTTTCAGGAGAAGACACCTCCAGAAGGATGCCATAGAAGTAAGGATGAGACGACCTCCCTTATCCACTCTGTGGAAGTGGCTGACAAACTGCAATTGTTTCTGTTTGAGCTTAAAAGAGATTGGTCTCAGTTCTCTGTAAATTGTTTTAAACATTGCATGGAATCTTCATCTGATGTTCTGTTTTTTTCTTTTCTAAGTAGATTTGTATGCATTCCATCCAGTTGTCTATGAAGACAAACAGATAATGTCCATGTTTCTGATCCATACAAATAGGACTGTTTCAATCAATGTTAGAAAGGTTTGGACTTTTAAAAAGGATTGATGGTTTGTATATAAGTTATATATTGCACATGCGTAGTGGAGCCAGGTCAGTACTTAGATGGGGGACCGCTTGGGAACACCTGGTACTGTAAGCCCCCAAAGTCCAACCCTTACCTCACAGTCGGTGGGGGTGGGGGGGAGATAAACGGTAGTGTCAGAGCTATGCCACCCGGAACTTCGTTCCTGGTAGGGCCACCCAAGGCGGACAGGTCTGACACACACGCCGGCTAACAAGGGCTCTGGTGAAAATCCAAGGAGCGTCTGCATCGGTAACCGGCGGCTTCTGGTCGTTCCTGTCTCTGCGTCTGTGGGAACCCCGTGGCAAGCAAGAACGTTATCCGAGTAGGCCTGGGTACCCTACTTCTGTAATTTATCCCAAGAATCTTCTTCTCATAATAGGAAGAAGCCGGCTCAATCCACCCAGGGTGAATGCCGCATCAGTACAGTACAGTACATGCGTAGTGGTGTAATGCATAGTCGGCTGGAATGAGAAAATAGAGAACTGAGATCAAATTCTACTTGAGATTGTTACATTTATTGATACTGGAGTTTTTATTAATCCAACATTTTTATCATTTTAATCATAAATACTCATATTTGTGTATATGCTCCATTTATTTATTAAACAGTATATTCATTTATTTTTGAATAACGGCTTGAATGTTCAAGAAATTTTATTAAAGAAAAATCTACACTCTCAGGCAGTAATCAAACCTGTATCCCCCATGGGTACAGGTAGCTACTGTTTAGTCAAGTACACCTTAACCGACTTGGCCATGAAGAGCAGTTAATCAGGCGAGACCAAATTTAAAGCGGCATTATTTGTTGTTCTGTACTTGACTCTGTAATGGTTCTATTTTTGATACTCAGTCCTTTTCTGTTTAAAAACAATGCAAGTTGTTTTTACTACAGCCCTTATTTTGAAAATATTATTATGATCATCTTTCTTCAACCTCCCTGTGGTTGGTCGCAACCCCATATACAATCTCTTTTCACACTGCATTGCCGTCCCCAGATCTCCAATACCAACCTTGAGTTCCGAGGTATGGTGTCTGTGAAAGTCAACTTTCGTGAGAAGAAACCTCCAGAAGGATACCATAGAAGTAAGGATGAGACGACCTTTATCATCTATGCTAACAAACACCGTTATCTATCCTACCTATCCTCATAATAGTCACCCCTCGCTGTACCACCTTAAAACAATCTTATTTGTTAACCGAGACTCTTGGACCTCGTTTTAGATGAAGAATTTTGGGAAAAAATACAGAATTAAGTTAATAATTCTTTCCAGGAACTAGTGTAACGAAAATCCTTCAACTTCTTTCAAAAGAATGGAATTGTTTTACATTTTCCTGGATTTTACTTAAGCAATTGCGTGTCGATCAAGACAAAGCACTTGAGAAGCTCTTAAGAGAGGTGTAGTCAAAAAGGAAACCCAATATTCAAGAAGACTGGAGGGCAAATTGCACCTAAACATCTGTAAGACGATTTAAAGGCAGTTTTATTTTTATTACAACGGAATTGAAAAGAAAACTTAAAAGTTACAGACATTCTTTCGTTTCTCCATATCCTGAAGTCTTGCGTCACCCTCACCATCCCCGAGACGATAATTGCACTCGACCATTTGAGGAAGGAACAAGATATGAAGATCGGAAAAGTCATTCTTACCACCTCCTTGGTGACACTCCTTACTATTGTATTGTTTGTGAGGTCTAACGCTTTAACGAAAATGTCAAGATGAATGAGTCTTCTGAAGTCTTTTCGTTTAGACTGAAATCTCTCTCAAACTATTTTGTCGATATTTTTTCGTTTCTTAAATTGGCAAGCATTGCCCGCCTCATAGGAGGATTGATATCTGGTCTAGTGCTTCTGCTATGTATCTAGATACCTTTATAAGAGCCAGATCAGGCCGAAAATGAAGTACTATTGTCATATTTGGGTGGGAGAAGTCTAGTCCTCATCTCCTGTCTCGATATAATCCAAAAGAGTATCCTCGGCCTTATGGATACTCTTATTCCAGTCACAATGATCGGATGTTCTCTTGGAAAGGCACCGTGTCTTGGGACCATTGGTTCTTAAAATCACGCCTGACCTTAAGTGAAACTCATACATACATGACATTGCTAAAGATGCAAGTAAAATGGCCGGCTACCTGAAAATTAAGATATACATTAGATACGTATAATATATTACTTTTTTTTTTTAACTACGGAAAGTATAATCTTGCGAGCGCAGGAGGAAGCCTTCCATAGGAAGGCCGTAGACAACAGTCTGTACCACACGACAGATGACCCAGAGTACAAAAGACGACGTGATAGTGTTTGACTTAACTTGCACTGGGTCTTTTGTAAAAAATGAAAATGGTTCCAACGTGTTCGAGAAATGGTAGGATCCCGTCACAATAATGGAAGGAAAAAACAAAAAACAAAAACAAAGATAGTCTTGAACTAGAACGTACACAGTCGTCCACAACCCAAGTCATCCCAGTAGTAATTGGAGCACTATATCAGTAGCAGATAAATCTATAAACCTGTTGCTTACTTCTGATTAGCCGTATTCTGGAGTAGGTTTCAATGCATGTGTTACTAGAAATATAATTTTTTTTAAATCCTTGGGGTGAGTACTTATTTATTTTACGCCCTGTCATTACCTCAGATAAATAATGGATCACATTTTGATAGCGAGGAAATATGGAAGAAAAAGATATATTAGAGACGCTATTTGCTTTTAATGAAAAAAAGAAGAAGAAAGTGTACATTATAATAAAGAAAGCGTAGGCGATAATGATGTCATGCGTTTACGTCTGCTTCAGTGAAATTTAAAAAAAACTTGTCAGTTTTTAATATCGTCATTTCTTCACTTATATGTCTTTAAATAATGACCGGCGAGATATTT